TTCATCTCAGGGACTTCAGCCAGGCAATCCACATCTCCCCACATGACTTAGATCAACACTAAGAGGTTTCATCGAGTAGTGCTATCGCTTGGTCTGATCAGCTTGAACCCTCTTCCAACCCAATCCAACTTCCTCTGGCATAGCTCATCGAAACTGGTGGTAGATCGATATGCGCAATACATGATCAAGTCATCTCAGTTGACTAAGATTCATAACCTCATCAATCGAATTTCTTGTCTTGCCCAACACCCTTCGACTGAGCTCAGCATTACTCATACTGTGATTTCATTAAACTCAAGCAATGATATGAAGACATCAGTGTTCAGAACCCTGTAACTGATTCATGTCTTTTACGTTCAACGGTGATGTCTCATAGCCTTAAAACGTGACAGGATAGACTACAGCGCAGCAAACTCGTCCTTTGAGTGATGGTTGGCTATCTCGCTAGTTAGTGCTAGAGATGACGCTTACTGACAAGTGCTCAACCATGATCCTGAAGATGTATATTATATCAAAGTTAAACGCTTTAAACTTTTGTCTTTGAAGGGTAAGCAGTCTGAGATTGGATAAGATTCTCAACGTCCTCAAACCTACTTGGAATTTCGTCCTGGTGTGAGATTCCTGATTTGTATACCTATGGTCCACACGGGGGTCGAACCAAGGACCGGCAGGTTCTGCAGTGAATATGTTGCAACGCAGCCATCGGAATTAAATTATAGAGTTTAAAGAGTTAGAATTAAGGTTACCACTAGGTTTTAGGATATGTAGCACAATATTAAAGCATGATCCGGTATGAGCTTCTTTTCCATAAGTTTATCCTTTTCTTTCAAGAAGGAAAAGTATATGGAAATTTTACAGAATTGGAAAGTAGTGCAGGATGATCATATGAGATGTGATTTTTTCCGATTCTATGAAATTTATCACCATCGAATTGCTACATAGGCTTATTTATAATGAGTGATAGCCTGTTAGAATTATGAAGTTCATCAGAACGATCTCACAATCATCTTCCACCTGAATAGTCACTTCAAAATCATAAGAGAGTTGCTCTAAAATGACGAAGTTCCATATGAATTGAGTAGTGACTGAAAGGAGAACCAATGACATAAGTTACATCCTCTCTAAGGTTCTACATCTGCTTATGCATAATCTTGTCAATCAACACTGGGCAGACTTTTAAAAATAAAATGCAACTGTGGGGGTGTAAACAGTAGTATTTATGCTTCATGATGCAAAAATGTATCAGTGACAGAAATGCCCATGTAAACATGGAATAGTAGTAAAACAGTTCTGCTTTATAATAAATTAGCATAAATAAATGAATTAAAAAACCAACCCTGCAATTACTGAAATCCCTTATTAATTTTTATTATTTCAGCTTGAAAGTTTATTTCTTTATAAAATTAAGAAATCCAATAGTTGCTAGAGTTGCTTTCGTTGTTTTTTGCATGATTTATGCAAATACCTGGTATATGAATGAATTTATGAATCAATTTTACACATCTGCAGATTTGACCTATGAGAATGACTTTGAAGGTCATCCTACCAGCCAATGAAACAGTCAGTTAGGTTGATTGGTTATCCCAGCATTTACTAAATTGACCTTTAGAATTTCTCGACCAATCAATTAGGAGTATTTAAAAGTTGAATGCGTTATTGCAATCCCATTGGTTATCGTTGTCTATATTATCGTCATTAAGCTGGAATTCATTTTAACAAATTCATTTGTAAACCTGTTACTGGTTCGCCTGAAGTGGTTGTCCTGTTTGTATAATTCAACCATCAAAGCGTAGGACTTCATCTGAATACAGTATAATTTTTTTAAATTTGTGGCTATGAGTGCTGTGTGGCAAAACTATAATGGGTCTGTGGCGTAGTAGTTTGGGGAGACGACTTTTTACCAGTAGGGCACGAGTTCAAGCCCTTGTCAGCCTACCGAGGTTTGAACAGTCAAGTAGTATCACTAGTGTGGCTCATTGCCTAATGCATGGATGCGCACAAGGTGGGTGATTGCGTTTCGTTTCAGTAATACCACCACTAACTAAGATTCAGGTACACCTGGCTGAGGAGTCCTAAATAGGACGAAATGAAAGACTGAATAACACTAAATGACTAAGAATCATATTTCAGAAAGGCAATGGCAGTACGGAGCTGAGTGAATAAGGTTTGTATTCATTTGTATATTCTTGATATTTTAATTTTTGACTATTTCCCTGAAGAAGGTCTGAGCAGACTTTTGTGCGAAACAACGTTTAAATTATTTTACTTCAAACACACTGTGACTTACACAAATACAAAATATATCTAATGTCGAACGCCTACTCAGTGCCCAATATTTACAATACTTTCCAGCCAAATTTTTTGTTCACAGTTCATACAAAGTTAGTGAAAGTGTTGTAAATATGTCATTTTGTGTCAACTTCTACTGGTGACTCATAGGTGTGTAAAATGCATAGGTAATAGTATTGATATTCACGGTAGTAAGGTGTGTAGAAAGTCACGATGACATTAGAAGCACCAGTATTCTATATTCTGAAGTCACATAACGAATCCCGTTAACAGTTGTGTTTTCTTGCCGTCGGCCACCGAATTAAAAGATTCACTCACCATGGCGGTCAACTTCGATAGAAGTTAGTTGACTGTAACCAATCAGCAAACAACCCTACCAACCTAGTTTATCTGCGAGGAATGTGTTCAATATTTTATAAATGTTATACAGCTCCCATTTCTGCTATACGACGATGCTACATGCCAAATGATTTTACAATGGAAAGTTGAGTGGTGCCTTTGAAGTGAAGACAGGTTGGCAGGTAAGATAAGGTTGCCACCAGCTATCACCGGTGATCTTCCTCACTGTGGTCGACTGGATCATGCAACAAACTGTGAGGAGCGGGAAGATGAGTGTACACTTGATCGACGAAAAGACCCTAGAATATTTGGATTTCGTCCATGATGATTTATGTCTAGTAGTGTCTTGTAGCACAAACTCGAAGATCTACAGGCAAAAACTAACAGGTTGACAGAGGAGGTGAGGCAGCGAAGGCGGGATATCAGGTGAACACAGAGAATGCACACGTGACGAAGATACCCAACTAGCAACGACAACGACAACAACAAACATCAATCACCATCAACGGGAGGAATCAAAAGGAAGTAGCCTGTTTCACCCATCTAGGCAGCATCGTTTCAACTACAGGCGGAAGCACAGGCACAGATGAGAACGTCAAAGCCAGGAACGGAAAGACAGCAAGGCAGGCCTTTCTTCATTAATCTGAAATCAGTGTGGAGATCTACTACACTGCACTGCACTCAGCATAAAGCGTGAACAACATCCGGATTTTCAACACCAATTCAGTGAAGTAAGTCAGTGCTTCTGTATGATGGTTGAGAGGCTTGCGGCGTTACGAAAAGCATTTCCTTCCAACAAACTGCAGACATGCATGAACAGCTGTTGCCTACGCTCGCTTGATACTAAAGATCAGAAGGCGAGAAGGAATAAGCAACAAGGAACTCTGGCATGGCAACGAAGCGACCAACGAAGCAAGAAGCTATCGCCCAACAAATATGCAGAAGAATGAAATGAAGATGTATCGGATTAGACATGCACTGAGAAGATGGTTTTCGGGACATCACGCACCAGGCCAAGCCGTCGAGCGGAACCAAAATGGAAAACGACGAGTTGGCCGTGCGACGGGGAGATGGAGAAGATCATGTGAGGAAGAGATGAAAGCTTCTGTGCAGTCGTGGAACTAGGTTGAAAAGGCTTCAGAGAACAGAGTAAAATGGCAACGTTTTACTGAATCCTTATGTTTCACTAGGAACCCAAGGGATAAATAATGCTAATAATTTCTGACCAACTAACAGAAGATATAGCAAGAAATAATAAATGTTAAAGTTTGGAACAGACGATTTGTTAGTTTTCAGAGTTCAGTCCCCCTATGCAGAAAAAGAAATCTTGTTCATTCACTTTCCTCGAGGATCAGGAAAATATATACTGAGGACACGGTTAACGGAGAACTGGAAACACTTCGACGAACTCTAGCGGAAAACGGATTCTCGCTCAGATTCATAGATAAGAACATAAAGCGAAAGAACCCAAGTGAACGAAGACATTTGGTGCCGAAAAAGATTCTTTTGTTGAATCTTGAATTCAAAAAAAAGTGGTATTGCTGCAGAGATTCTGAGGAAACGACTGTCAAAATCCATAAACAGAACATACTTCGCCGCCAACCTTCGGATAATTTTCTCCGGTAAGAAACTTTTCGGTCAATGTGTGAAAGACCAGCCGATATATTGGGCCACATCAATGTGTGTATACCAGGTCATTTGCTCCTTTGGAGCTGAGTACATCGGTCGTACCATGAGTCCGCTTTTAAAACTTATCCGCGAACCCTACCCAGCCTGGTTTGCAAAGGGAGAACGGAAATGCGTCTTCAGTTCGATAACAGAACACCTCATGAACTCAGATCACTTAGCTCCTTTTCAGAGCTCATTCAAAATTCTCTACAGGGTTCGATCAAACCACTTAATAGGAGTAAAATCAAGGCATCTGTCTATAGCTGAAACATTAGCCATCCAGAAGTTCAAAGCAGCGTTATGCATATGAAAAAGGTACGTCCAAGTTTTATCTTTGCCATGGCCATCATAAAGCCCTCTATGTCTGTCACAGATTCATTTTGTATCAGGTAACTACACATGTATACGTTATTCATTTCTTTACTATGTCATAGGACTGAACCTGCATTATGTAATTACAACCTTATTTTCATAATACCCTGTTTATTTTCCTACTCTGTCATAAATACTAAAGTGTCTAAAATATAGTTGGAATTTATTAGTTTTTTTATCGATAGGGTGTAACCCGCACAACTGACTATTGAAGTACATTAAATCATTCTTTCATGAGTTCATTTCTTTTAATTTCAGAAGTTAAAAAAAAAATCTTCTGTATATTGTATTCATTTATCTTTCTATCAGTATCCTTTTTCTATATATTTTAGGATATCACAAATAAAACACCTTTAATGAAAGCTGCACGTAGTGGTAAAGTATGGGCAGTTCGAAGACTTTTATTATCTGGAGCTAATGTGAATGTAAAAGATCGTAATGATGAAACTGCTTTACATTTTGCTTGTCGACAAGGTTCAACAGAAATAACTAGAATGCTTATTAAAGTAAGATATAAATAGAAAATTTAATTAAATTACTAATTCAACTAATTGATCCTATGATAATACAATTAGTTATTCATTAACAAGAACAAGGTATGTATCAGCGAAGAAGAAGCATCTTCTTTTCAACAACTTCATTATATCAACATACACAGTCGTATTTATACTCAATAAAGTAACAGATAATTACACTGGAAACTTGCTCAATCAATATACAAAATATACAATAGATGTAGGTGGTGGTATTTGTTCAAGTGGAAGAGATAGAAAATCGGTCAGTGAATAAGGAGGGACGAATTGAGATAAGAGACACATGTTGTTAAAGAATTGTAAAACGATGATAATTTGTCTGAAACATGCAAAATAGGTCAATGAATAAGGAAGGAACTGATAATAAAAAGTGAAATATGGGTCACTTTTTGTCAATGAAGTGGAAATTGGTGATAATGATGATGATGATGATGAAAGAGAAGTATACCAAAGTGAAGTGAAATGAAATTGACAAAATCAATAAAAAGAGTAGTTGTTAAGACCAAGGTGGAGAAAGTGGTTCCACAAAACGTTTTTGAATGCTGATGCTTCAGCTGTGCATAAGTGATGGAAAAGTAAACCTTTGGAGTAGTTCAATTTAACTTTAAAGGATGAATCTTGAAGTGCTGAGTGTCCCAATTCAACAAGGTGTTCATATATAAAGATGAAGTGGTTTTCTTTGCTCGCCTCTGGTAAGCCGAACTGGGTAGTGTTCAGCAACACGTTTTCGGAGGGCCCGCTTACAACGTCCAATATAGTCAACTCCACAAGATCATGTGAACTTGTAGATACACATAGATGTGAACATTAGTGGAAGCCTATCCTTCATGCATTGATGAATCAGACGGTGGCTGGAAAATATCAATCTCAGTCTAGCAGCATAGAAGCTACTATTGATACATCTTGACAGACGATTTTTCAGCACTTCGACTGTGGTGTCTCCTTTGAATTCTAGATTCATGTTTAAGATTTTCTTAAGGACTGTAATGGGATGGGGAGTAGTCCTTTTCTTCACATTCTTATCAATAAATCTCTTTGGGTATCCGTTATTAGGTAGAATTATTCTAAGAGTTTTGATTTCAGCATCCACTGTATCTTCTAAACATATTCTGTAGATTTCGGAACATAGTGAATGAATGAGATTTCTTTTACAACTAAGGGGTACCGAAGTATTAAAGTTATTGAACTGACCGGTCTGGGTTGGTTTTCGATAGTCTGACCTTTGAATCGAGCCATCATCCCTTCTCTTTAACGTTTATGTCTAGAAAGTTGAAAGTTGAATTTAGCTGTTCCTCTGCAGTGAATTTAATGGATGGATGATAATCATTGAAAACGTCTTAGCAGCCCATTCACTGGACATTTTTTGTCGAAAATAAGAAAAGTGTCAGAGATGTACCTTTTTTACAAATAAAGTTCCGGAATTATTTCTTTAAGTTGCTCGTTCTCGAGCTTTGCCATAAAGACATCAGCTAGGACAGGGCCTAGTGGATACCTCATTACGACTCCGTTTGTTCGATTACAAATCATATCATGAAATTCGAACTGTACATTAAACGTACATCTTAATATCAGTTCTTATAGGTGGCTCGTAGGTAATCCAATGTTAGTGTTATTAGAATCAATGTAATCGCATTGATAAAAAATGGTTTCAACAAGTGGAACATTGGTAAATAAAGAAAAAACATCAAGCGATATCATACGCTTACCCATTATTTTGATATCTCCGATGCAGCGAACAAAACCAAATGTATCGGGAAGACTATACTTGCATAGATTTAATCTCATCGGTTCAAGCATTTTTGCAAGCCACTTTGCCAATAAGTGATAAGGTGAATTAAGCATATCAAGTACTGGATGAAGAGGAAGACCTTTTTTATCCACCTTCGGTAAACCATATAAACAGGGCATGTTTGAACCAGATGATCTAAGCTGCTCATACATATCTGGAGTAATTAAAAATTCTTCTTTCAATTTTCTGAGGATTTTCAATATCTGTTCTATCCTTCTGATCTCTAGATTTCAGAAATTTACTATCATCGCTGAGAATTAAGCATATTTTATCAATATAATCCGACCGATTCAAAACCACGATACCAGATCCTTTGTCTGGGCGTACAAGTATAATATCCCTGTTATTTAGTAGCTCTTTCAATTATGCTTTGTGCTCTTTAGAAACAATACCTCATTGTCGACATGGTGTTTTCAAATATTGATAGCAACAATGTAATAATGTGAATTTGAAAAAAATAATATACAGAAACTAAAATATGAATACTTTCGAGGTAGTATTCGTCATAGATTGACATCAGTTGGAGAAATATTGAAAGCCTGGAACCACTGGATAGCTGTTTTCTCCTAGTATGCAGTTCCCCAGCAGTGATATGTTATTGTAGTACTAATGAGAAGTCATGATTTGTGGGGTCAACCAACAGGAAATGAAATGGATGCCAAATGAAGATCTTGGGTGATGATCGCGCTATATCATAGATGGAATATTAAATTCTGATCCAGTGGATATATGGTTAACGCGTTCGCCGTAAAACCTGAAGGTCTTAAGTTTGATCCCTAGCCGAGTACTGGTTGCGTACTGCTGAAGAGTCCCATACTAGAACGAAAATGGTAGTTCATATCTCTCAGCATCAGTCATTTCAAGGCGCAGCACAACTGTAATTCAGTAACATCAAGAAACAGTCACAATTATATTCATAGTCAACTTATTTGAGCCATAGATTATAACTTGCTACTGGAATTTTTAGAAATCTACCTTGCCTTAAAAAGGCCAACCTAACAGCTGCTGAAGTAACCAATCAGATTTCGGAATTTTAGTTGAGAAAAATAGCTTTCATACAGTACAAGAACTTCCTTGGTTGTCTCGGCAGTTTATATATCTCTGTCTGGCCGTCTGCGAACCACAGGATTTGCCTATTCACTCCTAAACCTGGCCTTGCAAGTGATTAATCTGTCTTGCACGGGATACATTTCGTATGCTCAAATTGAGTGACTTCAAGGGCCATCGTGATGACTATTTAGATGACCAATTACGTTTCTATATTTTGTGAAAAGCTATCTTTCTAGACGAGATAACGAAATCTTATTGGGTATTTCAATATTTGTTGGGTGACCTTCAAAGTCACTTCCGAACCTCGCACAACAGAACAAAACTTCATGTCCTTACGTGTGTATTTATTATTGGTAATAGGAGTCATCTGTATATGTGCAACTGAGTCTCCTGTCGACGGCGAGTGATTTCAAAAGCCACCCTAGCAACCTCTGAAATAACCAATCAGGTTTCAGCATTTCGACTGAAAGGGCGGATTTTCATAGAAAGAATCCAGAAATTTGACCTGTTACTTCAGTTGTTTTCAGGGTCACTCGTAGACCATGCATCATATAATTCATAAAAATCTAACAACCGATTTCATGCAGAGAAGAAAATGACAATATACAAAACAATTGACTGGTTTCACCCAATAGATAATTATTTCAGAACTATAATAAAGAAATGATAGAAGGAACAATGAAAAGTTCCTTGAAATAAGCTATTTATCATTATTATTTGTCCCTTGGGTTCCTAGTGGAACATAGGGCTTCTGTAGCACGTCGCCATTTCACTCTCTTCTCTATAGTCTTTCAAACCTGCCTCCACGACTGCCCAGAAGCCTTCATTTCCTCATCACACCATCTCCTCCATGTCACCCTCGGATGAACAACTCGTCGTTACCCTTTGGGTTCCACTCGACGGCCTGGCTTGGTGTATGATGTCCCTGAATGGTCTTCTCAGTGTGTGTCCTATCCAATTCATCTCCACTTTCTTGTGCATATATGTTGGCCGATGGGTTCTTGGTTGGTTCGTTGCCAGGCCAGCCAGAGTTCCTTGTTGCTCATTCCTTCTGGCCTTCTGACCTGATCTTGAGTATTGAGTGAGGTTGAAATGAGCTATACACTAATACAATTACATAAAACTCAAGTAAAATACTTTATGAAGTTAGATAGTGCGACCGACTGTACTTACCTGAGACTCATGTTTTCCATTTTTCGGCCGATATCACAAAAGTAGTAAGTAAACAGTATTTTATCATTTCGACTATCTGAAATAGTCGTGGTTTGGCAGACCAGTATTGATACTGAGTGATGACTGAAGGTAAAATAAAAAACTGGGCAGCAAAGGAATTCAAACCAGAGACCACCGGGTTTCCGGCCTGGTGCTCTATCAACTGAGCCGAGACGCCCTACTGCAGACCAAACCACCTTTGGTTATCGAAGTGAAATAAAAATCTAATCAGCAGTCGGACCTAGTAGCTGAGTTGATAGAACACTGAGCCGGGAACCCGGTGGTCGCTGGTTCGAATCCCACCGCAGTTGGAATTTCTGTTTCACCTTCAATCATCACCCAGCATAAATATTAATCTGCCAAACTGCGGTTGGGATCTCAGATAGTCAAATGATAATCAATATAATGCTCCCCTTCTCTAATCCAGTTAGATTTGGATTTAGGCGAGTTCTGACTAGGCAGCCAGTCTGAGTGTGATCAACTAGCGATAGTAACGCGCCATGAATTCACATGGTAGTCGGACAAAACTCCGCTTGGAATTGAAATGAAAGTTTAAAAAAATAGTATTTTGTTGATTACTACTGAGCGAATTTCTAATCTCTCTTATACATCAGCTGATTGTGAAGTGTATTTTCATGATGATTTGAAAAATCCGGATTTTATTATCATTATTATTATATTCTTATTAGTCCCTTGGGTTCCTAATGGAACATAGGGCTTCAGTAGCACGTTTCCAGTGACCTCTGTTCTCTGCAATCTTTTCAACCTGACTCCACGACTACCCACAAGCCCTCATTTCTTCCTCACACAATCTTCTCCATGTCACCCTCACCTAGGAGGCCCAACTCGTCGCTTCCAATCGGGGTTCCACTCGAGTACCTGGCCTGACGCGTGATGTCCCCAGCCAACCTTCTCAGTGCATGACCAATCCAATCCATCTCCACTTCCTTCCAATGCATATTTGTTGGGTAATCGGTTCTTGGTTGGTTCGTTCCCAGAGCTCCTTGTTGCTTATTCTTTCTCGCCTTGCCATCTGATCTTCAGTGTCAAGCCAGCGTAGGGGACAGTTGTTGATGAATGTCTGTAGTTTGTTGGAAATCCCTTTCGTAACGCGCCAAGTCTCTCAACCATCACATACAAGCGCTGACTTGACTGACGTTGGTGTTGAAAATCCGCATCTTTTTCCACATGCTGATTGCAGTGCAATACATCTCCACACTGGTTTCAGGCTAATGAACGCCTGTCTTGCTTTTCCGATTCTGACTTTGACATCGTCGTCTGTGCCTGTGTCGCCTGTAGTTGAAACAGTGCTGCCTAGATAGGTGAAGGAGGTTACTTCCTTTAAGTTTCTCCCGTTGATGGTGACTGGAGTTTGTTGTTGTTGTTGTTGATGGTGGTGGTGGTGGTGCGGTATCTTCATCACTTCTGTCTTCTCTATATTCACCTGAAGTCCCGTCTTCGCTGCCTCTTCGTCAACTTATTAGTTTTTCCTGTAGATCTTCAAGTCTGTGTGACATCAGGCACAAGTCATCACTGGCGAAATCCAAGTCTTCTAGGTTCTTTTCCGCCGTCCAGCGTATCCCCCTCTTCTCACAGCTCCCCACTGTTTGCTGCATGATCCAGTCCACCACAATCAGGAATATCATGGGGGATATAGGCAACCTTGTTTCATTCCTGTCTTCACTTCAAAAGCATCACTGAGCTTCCCATTGTGAATTACTTGGCATGTGGCATCTTCATATAGTTGTTGAATGAGGAGGATAAAGGTTTGCGGTACTCCGTAGTAATGAAGCAGTTTCCAAATTACTTGTCGGTCGACGCTGTCAAAGGCCTTCTCGAAGTCGATAAAGTTGAGGTGTAGAGTTGACTGCCATTCTATACTCTGTTCTATGATGATGCGAAGCGTTGCAATTTGGTCTGCACATGATTTGTACTTCCTGAAACCTGCCTGTTCTGGTCGTAGTTTTGAATCCAGCGCATCCTTTAGTCTCTCCAGAATAATGCGGCTTAATATTTTGCTTGCTCTGGGTGGACAGGAGAGTGATTCCTCACCAATTCTCGTGAACACTGAGGTCTCCCTTCATCGGGAGTTTGACGAGGTAACCCTTCTTCCCATCGACAGGTACCTTCTCTTCCTTCCACACCTTCTGCAATAGTGGTGTGAGCATGTCCGCTGTTGTCTCTGCGTCTGTTCTCAGTGCTTCTGGCGGGATCCCGTCTGGTCCTGCTGCTTTCCCGCATTTCAGTAGCTTTATGGCGTTCAGGACTTCCATTTTCATTGGAGGATTTATGTTCACTTGTACTTCAGCGGCTGGGCTGCTGATGGTATTTCTGGACGAAGTGCAGGTGGTGGTCGATTCAAGAGCTTCTTGAAGTGGTCGGCCCTTTGTTTCCTTTGTTTCTCTTCTTTCGTAATTAAATTTCCTTCTTCATCTTTTATTGGTTTCATCTGCGTTGATCTCTTCCCAGATAGCAACCTGGTTATTTGATACAATGTCTTCAGGTCTCTCTTACCTGCAGCCTGTTCTGCTTCACTTGCCAGTGTTTCGTAGAAGTGTCTTTTGTCTTTCCGTGCACTCTTCTTCACTTCTTTGTCCAGTGTTTTATACATTGTGCTCAGTTGCTCTTGTCGTTGAGCATCCTTCCACTGGTTTATCTTCTGCTTCATCTTATTCCTCTCCCTCCACTATCAGCTTCCATGTGTACATCGAGATCCATTCCTTATCTTCTTTCTTCTTTCTTCCTAATACTGTTGTGCAGGTTTCTTTCCACAGAGCTTTCAAAGACTTCCAGTGTTCTTCCACACAGGTTTCTTCAGGGATGTTGCTCGATATCTCCCATTTTGTCTTGATGGCTGCTATGAAGATTTCCTTTGTAGTTTCATCCTTCAGTTTCCGAGTGTTGTACTTGAACTGTGGTCTATCACCAGCTTCCTTGAAGGCTTTTAACTTGATTTAGAAGGTTCCTTGCACCAGATGGTGAGTGGTGTGAACCTACATCTGCTCCTCTTCTTGACCTTGTGTTAAGTAGACTGCGTCTCCATTTTCTTGAGATTGAGATGAAGCCGATCTGATTTTTAGTGTGTCCATGTAGTGAAATCGAATCCATGTCGCTTTGTGGATATCCTTGTGCTTGAACACACTGCCTCATTGCAATCACCAAGTCGTTGAATGCACAGAATTCTGCAAACGATTCTCCATTCTCGTTCATTTCATCGAGCGCTTCTCGACCCATGGTTAGTTCTCTTCCTGTGTTTTCTCCTCTCAGTTTGGCATTCATGTCTCCCTACCCATTAGGATTTTGATCTCACCATCTGGACTGAGGTCTTGTCCAGTGTTGATTAGAGTTGTCTGTAGAATTCCTCCTTTTTCTCTTGCTCTGCATTATTTGTAGGTGCATAGTGTAGCATTGCATGATTGTGACCTTCCTTCCTTTTGAGTTGAATCTTGCTGTCATGATCGTGGAGGAGGAGATTGGTTCCCACTGCATGAGAGCCTTCGATGCTCTTGAGGACATCATGATAGCCACTGCATAATTCAGTGTGCTCATGGTTGTCGTGTTGGGTGACAATATCGGAGCAGATTATTGATTCTCCAGTTGACAGTTTGGAGAGTCCATTCCCATTCCATCTGCTGTCGCAAATTCCAAGCACTTCAATGTGATACCTTCTCATCCCTTTTGCAATCTGGGCTGCCCTACCAGCTGGGTTCAAACATGGTGTGGACATTCCATGTCCCCACGTTTACTTTCGCTTTCATCGAGGGAGAGAAGACACATCGGCCAATTGGCTTCCCGAAGGCAGGCTTTCACCAACTGGCGTGATTTCGCCTCTCCGATTCCAGCGAGGAATAATTTTGTTATTATTTTTTATATTTCGTTTTTGCTTTGAAGTTTGTTTAGTGGTTGGATTTGTTTTACGGGGTAGGGTTGCTAGCCCTATGCCCAACCTTCCCTGTTTACCCGGTCTTGAGACCGGCTAGTAACTAGTGAACTAGTTAACCAGGCGAGGTTGAAAAATCCGGATACTCATTTCGTATGCCAGGAAGAAAACTTTGATATGGCTACCTTCAGATGTGAATTGTTCAATATACTTTAAGGTATATACAATGTTAAGCAGCTTGTTTTATATAGTAAATAGGAATTTTCATGGCATACGATTTATATATTTACGATTATATGTTATCAGAGTATTTAAACCACGAGGATCCACTAAGTGAAGTGTCCCACTGATTAGTGAATATGCTTCATTATTAAACGCAGCTAGTAATATGAGTCTATTTTGAAATGACTTGCCAGAAAGTAGAATAAAGTTATTATAAGTGTAGAATTAGATCACTATGGTAGAATCTTACTCCATATTAGATTAGTCTATTTGATAGGGTACACAGTGATATAATATTACTTTAGGTTGGAATCCATTGTGGAATGACATCAGTGGACAACTGTTTCCTCCTAATATGAGACTCGTAAGCAGTGTGCACCCATGCCACACCACCCCACCTCGTCAGGGCGGAATCCAGGACCTTCATGTTCCATGGCCAGCAAGTTATCATTGACCCACTCCATCGGAATCCAGTCATCCACATTTCCTACTTCCATCAGTTCACCATATAGTGCGACTATCACTCAAGGTCTTCAGTTGGCATCCACTTCCCTTCCGACTGGTTGACCCTACAGGTCACGACTTCTCATTAGAGCTTCGTGATATCCATCCGGAAGCAAGTCATTAATGAGCACTATACAGTAATGTATTTTTGAAATGAATGGAGATTTTCAATTTAGAGGTAGTATTCATCATGGACTGACATCAGGAGTCTCATACTAAGACGATACAGCTGTCCAGTGCTCCCAGATATTCAATGGTTCCTCAACTCATGTTAGTCTATGATGAATACTACCTCTAAATTAAAAAAAAATCCCCATTCATCTCAATAATATAATAGATATGTTTGATATAATGATTTGATTGTTCATTATTAAGCTAAGTAATTCACTAATTCATTATTATTGTTGTTTTAATGTTCATTTTATATATGTAACTCTTTCATTAGGCTGAATCACGTTTAAATGCACAAAATCAAATCGGTCTAACACCTTTAATGGAATCAGTATCATATAATCAACGTGAAGCTGTCAGTCTATTGATAAAACAACGAGATATTGATTTGTATAAAAGAGATTTTTGTACTGGTGATACAGCTTTACATATTGCAGTGAAAAAGAATTATATACATATTGTAGAAATATTATTACGTGCAGGTGAGTGAATATACCAATGTAGTAATATAAACATTTTCCTATAAATTATTTTATCATAAAATGAAATTAGCTAGATAGATAATGTTTTCATTGTAACCCAACCAACGCCACCACCAACAACAACAAGCTTCAATCACCATGAAAGGGAGAAATGTAAAGGAAGTAGTCTCTTTCACCTGCCTAAGCAATGCAGCATTGTGGCTAAGGCACAGATGAGGACGTCAAAGCCAGGATCGGGAAAGCAAGACAAGCTTTTATTAACCTGAAACCAGTGTGAAGATATTCTGCACTCAGCATAAAGCGTGAACAACATCCGAATTTTCAACACCAATGTTAAGTCAGTGCTTCTGTATGATTGAGAGACTTGGCGCGTTACAAAAAACATTTCCAACAAACTACAGACATTCATCAACAACTGCTCCCTACACTGACTCGTTACTCAAGCTCAGATGGCCAGAATAATAAGAATAAGCAAGGAGGAACTCTGGCTGGCTGGCTGGCTGGCTGGCTGGCTGGCTGGCTGGCTTGCTGGCTTGCTGGCTGGCTGGCTGGCTGGCTGGCTGGCTGGCTGGCTGGCTGGCTGGCTGGCTGGCTGGCTGGCTGGCTGCTGGCTGGCTGGCTGGCTGGCTGGCTGGCTGGCTGGCTGGCTGGCTGGCTGGCTGGCTGGCTGGCTGGCTGGCTGGCTGGCTGGCTGGCTGGCTGGCTGGCTGGCTGGCTGGCTGGCTGGCTGGCTGGCTGGCTGGCTGGCTGGCTGGCTGGCTGGCTGGCTGGCTGGCTGGCTGGCTGGCTGGCTGGCTGGCTGGCTGGCTGGCTGGCTGGCTGGCTGGCTGGCTGGCTGGCTGGCTGGCTGGCTGGCTGGCTGGCTGGCTGGCTGGCTGGCTGGCTGGCTGGCTGGCTGGCTGGCTGGCTGGCTGGCTGGCTGGCAACGAACCAACGAAGCAAGAACCCATCGCTCAACAAATATGCATTGGAAGGAAGTGGAGATGGATTGGGCATGCACTGAGAAGACCATTCGGGGACATCACGCGTCAGGCCAGGCACTCGAGTGGAACCCAGATGGAAAAAGGTGAGTTGGGATTCCGAGATGAGGGTGAGATGGAGGAGATTGTGTGAGGAGGAAATGAGAGCTTGTGGGTAGTCGTGAAACCAGGTTCAAAAGATTGCAGAGAACAGAGTGTAATGGAGACGTGCTACTGAAGCCCTATATTCCACTAGGACAAATTGGCCAATCGGCTTCTCGAAGGCTTTCACCAACCGGCGTCATTTCCAGCGAGGAATAAGTTTGTTTTTATTTTGTCTGCGCTTTGAAGTTTCTGTAGCTGTTGGATTGATTTTACGAGGTAGGGTTGCTAGCCCTATGTCCAACCTTCCCTCTTTGTGTGGGCTTAGGACCGTTTAGTAACTAGTGAACTAGTTAAACAGGCGAGATTACTATAGCGAAATAGGAAATAACAAATGTGAAGTATTACGTCATGGTTGAAAATGACTACAGGTTGTGGTATGAATAAGGAAGGGCTTAAAACCAATGACAAGAAAATGAGTATTCATCAATGTAATGACAATATAGAAGAAAGGAATGGGAGGTTAAAATGTGCAATTTATGGTAGGAAAGTTCATAAAGAACGTGTTGACCCTGTTATAGGCCAAGGTAACAAAGTGAATGTACATATTTCTTTTGAACACACAGGTCCGATTTTCTTGCGTTGATCCCTATGGCTTTGTCTATGGATAAGATAGGAAGTTGTGCACCTTTAAGGAGATTGCAAGGGACACGCTATATCACAGAAAAGGCGTGATCTACCCTTAATCTGATGTCCGGTATCTACTAGGTATGAGATGATTGCACTGTTGATGCTGTTTGTTATTCCTTTCCCCAACCAAGATGGCACGTGTTCACGAATGCGCATTGATAGAACCCTTTGAGTACGGCCTATGTAACTGGCTCCATAGGAGCTGTTGAACTCATAAATACACATTGAAGTGGCCATCATAGGTAACCTATCGATAGTTCGCTGTATCAGTAATGGTTTGGTTGAGAGGTTGACAAAAGTTTTGATGCATTGAACGTCCTTTCGACTGATCTACTTAGTCAATGTGTTAAGATATCCATGACAATATCACCTTTGAAACTTAGTCTAAGATATATAGGCTCCTCTGATTGAATTTGATTCCTAAAGTAGTCTTTCTGAAAACCTACCTATCCCACACAGAACTATCCGATTCGACTAGAAGGAAATAGTTCTGAAGCTGGTTGACTACTTCAAGAAATGACATTTTGTTATGATTGAACTGAATTCATTACTATGTAGACTACTGATCCTTTGTTTTAGCTTGATCAAATGAATTCAGACATGACGTTCTATAAGATTTCCTGCTCAAGTTCAAAGAAAAACCTGACTACTTTCCAACGTTAGTCTTCTACTACTCACTCACTCACTCACTCATCTTACACCAGAACATAAAGATATACCATTCAGCAAGGTGAATTATATGGAATTAGGAGAGAAAATGAAATCAGGATTCGTAGGGTTTTATAAAAGGAAAAGAAGAAATGATAAAGTATTGATAAAATGAATTGTGGTGATTGGAGGGGAGATAATCAGCTACACCACTGAGATCGATTGTTAGCAATGTCATCCAGAGTCTCCAACAATCGATTTTGGTTGTCACGCTACCGCTAATCTTGAAATCTTCATTTTCCTACATCGCTCAAACCAACAGTCAGGGAATTCATACGCTGATGCCATGTTTTATTCTCAACGCCTTGAACCCTTTTTACAACCTATACTGTGTCCCAGAAATGACGTTGATTACGCTGCGTATCACACATCCCAGTCATCTGAGTCGATGAAGCTTTACAAATACATTGGCTAGAGGCCTGATATCTGCATTACTAAGGTGCTGGTCTCGGTCCACAGAGCCAAAGCTTTTGAAATAACACTGGTTATACACCTGCGATTTTCTTATATTCTTCATCTTTATTAACTTTGTTTCCCAGACATTATAGTGGGTTAGATCGCACTGCTGTAGAGTACGCTTGGTCATTGACAGACAAATGGGTATCTCATTAATGCATAGGTCTGCGAAAGCAAACCAACTCTATCGTGTCCATGACACAGTTTTGTCCATATCTCACCCAGAAAGATTGGTATATCTTCCTTCGTAAGATGAAGTAATAACTCAGGGCGGTCCTTGTTTAACAGTGAGCACTAGGGAGGGAGAGATACACCTCAAGTATTCTCAGATTCCTACTCAAGCTGTCCATAAAACTCTGTACCATGCTAAAAATTTTTACGCAAGAGGGATGTATCGTCTGTGAAGCTTAAGGTCAAATAAGCAGTCCTTTGCAAAGTAAGACAATTGAGTGAATACCATTATAAGTAATTTTATGAAAAAGTTGAATAAAAATATACGGAAAGGACATGATTAACAGATCCTGGTGGGCATAGATAACTCACCTAATACCTTACCGTAGGCTCTAACACAACCACAGGTGTTGGAATATCAAGTCTTCATGAAGTTGATGTACTTACTGGAGTATAAAATGGTGGAGAATATTTGAAGCTCAGGTGGATGGTCTTGGTTGTATTGTGTTTTCTGATCCAGGTTTTCTAGTCATAAAGCTTTCATCGTCTTGCTAGACGACATCTTCAGCACAAAATTAACTGCATGCAGACTCTATGCAAAAGAGCGAGAACACACTGAAGTAGAATAACTTCACGGAGAAACGAAGAAAATTACCTAATGTTCAGAAGATGCCTCGCTATCCCATGCATCATCAACTACAAAGTCGTCGACAGAAATCAATGAGCACACCATCCTGCCTTCTTTAAAGAATACATTGGAAATCACGACGAGATTACTGAGACCACTTGGAATTGGTGTGGTGCCTCATAAACCAACAAATTCCCTACAAACCCCATTATGCAGACCAAAGGATGCGACAACCAGGGAAGACAGACCGAACATCATTTGCAAACTCAACTGCAATAACTAATTGTAGTCAACACTACATTGAACAAAGCGGTCGCCCACCTTCGCCTTCGTCCATATGGACACTAATTGGCTATTAAACACCACGACATTTCGTCACTCATTTCAATGCACCTGGATAACAACTATGAACATGAATTCAATTTCGACAATGTAGAAATTTTGGAAGGAGAGAGGAAACACAAAGAATATCAGAGAATTCCTAGAAGCTTGGCATTCAGGTCAGTCAGTAATCAACAGATGTATAGACATAGACCCAATCTATCAACCAATAGGAAAAGTGATAAACGACAGAAAGGTCAGAGGTCAAGCAGAGGAACAGCCAATAGGAAAGTCTATGCAGTCAATCAATGACAAACAATAGAAGGAAGAAACCAATCACAAACCAGTTCATCAGGGCAAGCTACTAAATCGCTGATGGAGAGATACTGACAGCTCACTGCTTCATACTGAAATTAGTGCTGATAATGTCGCTGTCTAGAAAGACGATGAAAGCTCCATGTTACTGCACTTTAAGTGACAAACAGTTACTTCTAATGTGACCACATACTAAAATATTCTGAATTCAGCATTATCCCTCTGCATTACCATCTCGGTTGATTCAGGAATCGAGCTGCCGAACTAGGGGGTATATGGGCGTCTTCTAATCGGAGTTACGCTATGATTTCTAGTGATGAGCACATTTTATCGACTATGTGTTATTTAACCCAGCGTAAAGTAATTCATCAACTTCATATGACATATTAAAGTCAAAATGTCTTTTACCAAAAAATTTCACTCATTGAGGAAGCTGATTTACTTACCGTTTCGAAGAAGTTTATGGCTCTCAATGATTTAAAATCCCGCCATACAATACTGAAACTATAGAAAAGAGTAGATTAAATCTTATAAGCACAGTATAGAACTAGTTACCAACTAGAAGGCTTTTCGTGAGAATCTTTTAGCCTTACTCTAGGGGTCTATTCCAAGTTGATCCGTTTCTCACTTATACCTTTAAATGAGAAATGTTACTTGAATAATGACAGAGGGGCGAGAAGATAGGCATACGCTGTTTCACCGATGAAAAGATCCTAGAAGATTTCGATTTCGCCAACGATGATGACTTATGTTTGATGCTTGATGTTGGCAAAACTCGAAGATATACAGGCGAAAACTAACAAATTTGGCAGAAGAGGCAAGACAGAAAAGACGGGATTCCCTTCAGGTGAACGTAGAGAAGATAGAGGTGGTGAAGATACCCACCAACAACAACGACAACAACAAGCACCAGTCACCATCAGTGGAAGAAATCCAAAGCAAGTTGTCTCTTTCACCCACCCACCGAGGCAGCATCATTTCAACTGCAGGCGGCAGAGGCACAGATGAGAATGTCAAAGCCAGCCAGGATCGAAAGACAGCAAGACAGGCCTTCATTAGTCTGAAATCATTGTGGAGATCTACTGCACTACCCTACAATCAGCATCAACAGCAAGATCCAGATTTTCAACGGTAATGTCAGTCAAGTCAGTGCTTCTATATGATGGTTGAGAGACTTGGCGCCTTACGAAAGGCATTTCCAACAAACTTCAGACATGCATGAACAACTTCCACCTACACTCGCTCGATACTGAAGATGAGATGGCCAGAAAGAATAAGCAAGGAGGAACTATGGCCTGGCAACGAACCAACCAACAACCTATCGTCCACCAAACATGTAGAAGAAAGTGGAGATGGATTGGATTGGACATACACTGCGAAGACCGATTGGGGACAGACCCTCGAGGTGAACCCAAATGGGAAACTACGAGTTGGGCGTCCGAGGGTGAGATGTAACAGGTCGTATGAGGAAGAAATGAAAGCTCGTAGGCAGTCGTAGAGCCAGCTTCAAAGACTGCAGAGAAGAGAGTGAGAGAGTAATGAAATAACCAACTTTTCACAAGTATAAGATTTAAATTTTTCTCGGATTCACCGCTGGTGTCTGATACTTGTAATGTTTAATCACCATTTACTTGTCAACTAAATATCATCGGACCCCTTTGTGTACTCATCCAACTTAGTAACTACCTACTAGAGAATTTATTTTTACACAGTTCATATCTAAAATTCTCTATCATTTGGTGTACAATTAAGATTTAGAGATTTCAGGCAACAGTTTCATATGAAATAACTCAACACAATGTATTGATGATCACTTGTTAATTTGAGGATAACATTTTACCGGTACTATTTTGAAGAGTTTCGGAAGATATGAAACAGATACATGAAATCTTTCCTGTGTGTTATTTTCTGAATTAAATTCAGTTTTTACATTTTGTTATCATGAAAACTGTTTTCAAAAGAATAACCACCATATAAAGGGGTTGTTATTTCCCATGATTGATTGGTTTGAACTGAAAAGACTGATTTATGTTAGTGTATTGATGACTGCTATGCAGACAACCCGATGTAGTCAATATTCACTTTTAATAATAACTACATTTTCGTGTTAAATGATAAGAGAAGATCAGAGAATTAATCACTGAACTATTCAGGTCACGAATAACCATTTGTAGAGGTAGATTATGTAAACGAACTGGTCACCAACGGGTAACCGATGTAGGTGTCGGAAGACCTTAATCAGTTCTAGGCTGTGATAACTAGACAGATATGTAGTTTATCAATCTATGTAAATAACCACATCGTTAAAAGTGGCACAGTACAAATCTTCACGTGTTTATTACGTATTACAAATACGATTCAGATTGCGATGGAAGGTAAAGCAAAATACCTAATGATGTTAAGTTACCACGTATACATAACGCTGAAGATGTACATGTAGTTTATATTTTCCAGCTGCCAATCCTGTTAAAAATTGTTTCTTATTGAAACGCTTATAAATGAATTGGGACGACGACTTTGAAATCATAAATGGGAAATCTATGAGATGTCTGTTAAACCTGAACTTTGGGGGAATGTTTCTAAATTTAACCTTATGGCAGTGACACTCTTCTTGGTTGTATAGTTGCACTATTTCTATGACGCCTTCTTCCAACGAAAAAAGGTAGATATACATCAAGAGATTTCAACCAACATTTAGCGACGCCTATCATCTATGAAAAGATAGATAGTCAGCAATAAAACTTTACAGTATGGCCTTAAATTATCACCATATTCTTTTCAGGTTAACCGCTTCTAGAGTTACAGAAGTCTAATGATAATTCATGATAGTTTATTCATCAAAGGAAAAGTGTAGTCTTGACAACATTTCTTGACTGAGTCATGACATTAGGCTATTTCGATAATCGCTTTTATTATACTTTCGTTGACTGAACTGAATTGATCGGTTTCTATCGGTGTAATACAAGCCATTATACTAAAACTATCCCCTCGGACAAGAGGTGGCTATCGTGGCTCGGTGGTCTGGTGGATAACGCTCTGGCATTTGAAGCGATCGGTCCCGAGTTTGAATCCCAGTGGGAACAATATCACTCACTGGAAGGCAGGTAGGTTCAGTTGATGAATCCTAAATAGGATTCTCCTGCTAGCCATTGTCCATCATTACTATATTTCGATGATTGCATAAACTATATGTGTTTTCTTTGTTTTTTAACTTTTCTATTTTACAGGCAACTGGTACATTGAATATAATTACAATAATCTGGGTGAATCATTTGTACATGATGTCATTGCCTATAATAGATTAGAGTTACTACGCTTATTCTTAGCCTACAACTATGATCTAGATAGACCAGCTAAACGTCTTCCACCTAATATACACTTATTAGCATCTTCTTCAAGCATTTTGTCTACTGTTAAAAATCAACAGAATTCAATTACACCTAGAAATACAACACAATCAGATACAACTTCTCGAACACACATCACTTATATTAGTCCATTTGAAAAGTCTCCATTTCAAATGGCTCTAGAACGTGGACATCTTGATATGGCAAGAATATTAGCTGATGTTGGCTGTTTTTGTACTCGACCATCAATAAATTCAACTTCAATGTCATCAGTTTGTACAACTTCATCACAGAATATAGAATCGAATTCATTGAATCAAACTCTTCGTATACAGCATACAAATATTTTAAATCCGTTAACTAGACGGTATAATGGTCTACTTGAAGTTAAATCATTACAGAAATGGTGCCGTAAAGTTATTAGACAAAGACTTGGCTTTCGATTAATTGAAGCATTGCCTCATTTACCTATTCCAGTACCATTAAAAGATTTTTTATTATTGCGTGATTTAGATTGGTCAGTTTATTTAACCAATCGAAGTTCGACAATTAATTCAGATGGATTAGCTATTATAGTCCCACCGTGAATATATATATATATATATATATATATATATATATATATATATATATATATGGAGAGAAAGAGAGAGAGTATATATATATAATGCCATCAGTTCAAATCACTGGTGGGCTTATATTTACAATCAGTCTAGAACATTAGTTGTTTAACCCATATAAATATACGAATATTTAGGTCTATCAGAATATATATATATATATATATATATATATATATATATATATATATATTATACAATGTAGGCGAGATTCATATTTATTTCATAATCAACAATGAATAATGATTGAAAACACCATAGAAATGTTTATCAAAGTTAAACTTTTTATGATCATAATAAATTTCAGTAAGTATTTATACTATAATTAATCATAGATAAATATACTATTAAAATCTAGACAAAATGTTTGTTTTTCTTATTTGTTGAGAAATTTTCATAAAGTTTTGTGTTTACAATTTCATTATGTTGTGTAGATGGATGGGTTATCATGATATCAAACTAGATAACATAGTCACAATATGACTGACTGTCAAGAGAACTTAACACATCTTGTATACTTGCATAGTGTTTTTGTTTCCTTGGCTATAAAAAATCTAAAATATATACCAGTCTGATACATTGTACAATTTGTCCTACATCAAGTTATTGAAATAGTTTGAAATTATGTAAACTATGTGTAACCAAAAGATGACCGAATGATTACTGGGTCAAAACTTCGATGATTGAAATGAGGCTAAAAGTTATCGATGTTATCGGTGCTTGTTATAAGATGTAGCGTTCTGTCTGCAAATCCAACAGTTTTAAAGACAATCCAACAACTGTTATTTTGTGTTCTAAGCTTCCTGACCTAATCAATGTATGTAGTTCAGTCTTACTGGAGGTTACTCATAGCCCAGTTAGCTCATTGTTGACTTTTCTAACTTCATTATCTGGTGGAACGGGTTTGAATCAATTAAATTTCAGTTCCGTCAAGATTGCAGATACATTTTACTGATGTAACTTATATCCAGGGTTTCATGTTAATTACCTCTAATTAATTAAGGTTTGAGTTGGGTGAGGCTAAAAGTTATCCCCAAGTGTTGTTATAGTGTTCTGTGTGAAAATATGTATATTCTGTATTCTAGGAGATGGAATAATTGCAACCAATACTTCGCAAATGAATAAATGACATAAAACATGATTCAATAGGAGAGAGAGAGTTTTAGTAACTATACAAATAGGTAAAATATGCATAGAGCGTACCGATAATACACAAATTTACACACAAAACACTATGTCCTATAACAAGCAATGATAATACCTAGGGATAACTTTTAGCTAACGTTTAGGCTATGCGGAGACAATGCATTTTACACCATTTGATATTGTAAGAGGAGGGGAGGGGGGAACTCTGTAAATTACCTTGAAGGAACTACTAAGATGGGCCAGATGTCCTGAGATGATGATATGTTCAAGCATAGTACTACAAAATATTCTAAAAGGCATTTGAGGACTCGGCATTATGTACGACCAGTGTATTTTCCCTCACAGAAACAAAGAAACTGATAAATGCTCATTGAGGTAGCCAAAAGTAATCTTGTCCTTATTATCATTATTGTCAGAACACAAACATGGTACAGTAAGGGAACCAATAAATGTACCACACAAATTTGTGTAATAACATTATGAAGACATCAAGCGAAGGGAAGTGGATAAGTAAGAAAGAAAAACAATAAGAATAGCATGATTGGAAGGGTGGCCCAGTAAGATATATTCGAAACAAAGCATTCATTACATTTCAGCAGTAGACGATACAATGGAAGCTACTGCATAATCCCCACTGCTTTGCATTCTCAGCTATATCCCATAAAGTCTCAAGCTACTAAGTTAAATGGTCTCTCCGACCCTAACCAGGCAGTCGTTATGCATCAACAGATGCTAAACACATACAACTATACTTCATCATATGGTACCACATCATACACCCACCACCCCTCCGCTTCTTCCACCCAGTCACACGGGTAGCAAACAAAGGACGGTGTGGAAGCCGTTGGTAAGACAAGCGTGACACATGTCCACATCACTGAAGTCGGTGTTTCCAGATGACTTCAACTATTGAGTGACGACCTCCGTCATATGCAAACACACGCTATCGTACTTCACAACTGCTTACATAGTGTTGCCACCAGCCATGAAAAATCCTACGGAGCCAACGATGATGGAATACACAGAGTCCTCCCAAACCCGCAGCCCGGAGAGACTAAGCTTCACAGGCATAGAGTAGAACTGCTCGTACCGAAGCCTTATAAACCCGATCTTTTACGGTCAGACTAATGTCATGACGGTGTCAAAGGTGGATAAGATTGGCAAATGCTACTCCGGCTTTCGATATAGGGTTGGAAATTTCACTTTTTACAACTCCATCAGCACTCACACAACTACCCAGATACATGACTCTTTCGACTACTTCCAATGACTCACCACAACGGTTAGGGTATAGACAGAGACTCATGCCAATCTTGTAAAAGTACTTTGCCCTTCGATGGTCCATAGCACATACAAAACTTTCGGACACTAATTACCAACTGATCAAGTGAGGTTCGAATAGACTGTGTTATCGTACAATAAGACGATATCGTCTGCCGTACTCCGGGTATTAGATGTACACTATAATCACACGTCTGCTTTACAGCTGTCTCAAGAATGTCATCGATTGAAAAGTTGAAGAAGAATGAAGAAATTGGTCATTGATGAATTAATTGTCTACCGGAGAATTTGATGATTAGGTCAGCTGCGTACAATGTCTTTCTCAATGATCTGAAGAGGTAATTTCTGAGGATTTCAGCTGCAATGTCACGTTTAATTAACAAGCTTATACGGAGTGTTTTCTTTGAGATGGTCGGTGACTTTTGTGTTATATAGAGTTATATTAGAGTCAATAAATCTAGGTGGATAATTGTTTTCTAATAGGTTTTTATGTAGAGATATTAGTATGATGTATCGTTGGCATATCTTCAGAATAGATCTCTTGAATAAGTAAAATTGAAAGCCTTTAGCAAGTTGTTCAAATCAAATTTTCATCCTATATAATAAAAGTGTTATCCAAGTACCATTTGTAAACGTCTAGTCAGCCGACTAATCGATTGGGAACATCGTTTTCAAGAGGCGTTGTGAAGTAGTCGGCTAGAATAGGACCTCATTGCTACATCGCTTTCTTGTATTCTTCGTTGGACTTCAACTGGATCTTGAAAGCGTATGTGAGAGCAGTAATTTCAAGTACAGTAATGTTTAATTCGTTCGACCTAATGTCATCGCAAGTAGCTTGGCTGGTATAGAGTTGGGTTAATGAAAGAAAATTTCGTAGCCTGCTCAGATTCATATTTCCTTTCAGCCTCGATTATTGCGACATTATCTTAGGGATGCCTAATCCTTAAAAAAATTAACTTAAAATATGTTTATATTATCATTAAAAAATTTAAACCTTATTTTCAAGCCCTTTTTACACCATGCGATGCTAATTATTTTTACCGCAGTTGAAGTTACTAAACGCTGATTGGTCCATTCTAAACTTTTAATATACTATTTCGTTTCCCCTGGCCAAAGCCATCTAAGGATATACAGACAACTGAGTTCTCAGTTATTATTATTATTCGGTTGAAGTAAATACACTTTCAATCTCATCGTCGTCTTCTGGTTTCAGCTGAATATTGAGTATCGTGTCAGAGCATTGTATCTTTATATATACCGTGGATCACAACAGTAGCGACAGAAATGGGATATTGGGAAATGGACTCTTCGAAGTTGGACAATTCCTCAAACAACAAATCAAAATTATCGAGATACTTAAGCAATCCTAAATACTGAATCATCACCTACTATAACAGTTTTAATAGCTTCTTCAGCTGATGGCATCGCCAATGCACTATTATCCTGATGCTAACGAGACTTTCGACAGTTGGTTCAGGTGTTACGAAGATTAATTCGAAGTGGATTTGCCGGCCAAGATGATTACTATAAGGTATATCTCCTCAAAAGCAAAACTTCTGAACGTCATAAAACTGCTGAAATTCGGGAAAGCAGCAGAACCAGATGAAATTCCTCCAGAAGCACTGAAAACAGACACAGAGACAACAGCGGACACGCTCACAGCACTACTGAAGAAGGTTTGGAAGGGACGAAAGGTACCTGCCCATTGATTGGAAGAAGGGTTACCTTGTCAAACTTCCAAAGAAGGGAAACCTAAGTTTTTACAACAATTAGCGCAGAATCATGCTCCACCATTGTCCACCCAAAGCAAGCAAAATAGTAAGCCGCATCTTTCTGGAGAGAATAAAGGATGCTCTGGATTCAAAATTACGACCGGAACAAGATGGCTTTAAAAAAACAAATCATGTCCGGATCAAATTGCACCATCATAGAACAGAGCATAGAATACCAGTCAACTCAACTCTTTACTTCAACTTCATCGATTTTGAAAAGGCCTTCGATAGCGTCGACCGAGAAGTAATTTGGCAACTGCTTCAAAACTACGGTTTTAGTGCTACAAATCTTTATCAACCCCATTCAACAGCTATATGACGACGCCGCATGCCAAGTGATTCACAATGGAAAGCTGAGTGATGCCTTTGAAGTGAAGATAGGTTGGCAGGTAAGACAACGTTGCCTACTATCACTGACGATCTTCCTTATAGTGGTCGACTCGACTGGATCATGCAGCAAACAGTGAGGAGTGAGAAGAGGGGCGTACGCTGGACCGATGAAAAGAGCTTACAAGATTTGAATTTCACCCATGATGATTTATGTCTAATGTCTTGTAGCACAAACTCGAAGATCTACAGGCAAAAACTAACAAGTTAACAGAAGAGGTAGGGCAGCCAAGGAAGACGGGGCTTCCTTCAGGTGAACTTAGAGAAGACAGAGATGATGAAGGTACCCAACTAACAGCGACAACAACAACAAACATCAATCACCATCAACGGGGGAGACGTAAAAGAAGTAGTCTCTCACCTATCTAGGTAGCATCGTTTCAACTACAGGCGGTAGCACAGGCACAGATGAGGACGTCAAAGCCACGATCGGAAAGACAGCAAGGCAGGCCTTCCTTCATTAATCTGAAATCAGTGTGGAGATCTGCACTCAGCATGTGGAACAAGATC